TCATTATTCATACATTCAAAATTGATATGGAAACTGACAAATTCCTCTAAAAGCAATTTTCTATTAGCTCATACTGCCATTGTGAGCTGCGTGATGAAGATTTGCTGCAGAAGAGGAAAAGAGTGACAAATGAATATAAGTGAGGTATTAGTGTGGGAGCATGTGTGGGAGCGTGTGTGTGTGTGTGTGTGTGTGTGTGTTGAGTTGAGTAGGATGTTTGGGTACTAATGTTTGTGGCACATAAGTGTTATGAGTGTGCCTGAAGAAGGAGGTGGCTCTTGTGTGTGTGTGTGTGTGTGTGGCCCAGCACAATGAGGTGTAAGACTCCTAACACCCTGCAGGAAGAAACTCACTATGTTACATGTGTCTATATTGGTGTGTCTGTGTGTGTTGAGTTGAATAGGATGTTTGGGTACTAATGTTAGAGGCGCGTGAGTGTTAAGAGTGTGCCTGAAGAAGGAGGTGGCTCTTTTCTCTCTCTCTCTCTCTCTCTCTCTGTGTGTGTGTGTTTGTGTGTGGCCCAGCACAATGAGGTGAATGACTCCTAACACCCTGCAGGAAGAAACTCACTATGTTACATGTGTCTATACTGGTGTGTGTGTGTGTGTGTTGAGTTGAATAGGATGTTTGGGTACTAATGTTAGAGGCACAGGAGTACTATGAGTGTGCCTGAAGAAGGAGGTGGCTGTTTTATCTCTGTCTCTCTCTCTGTGTGTGTGTGTGTTTGTGTGTGGCCCAGTACAATGAGGTGTATGACTCCTAAGACCCTGCAGGAAGAAACTCACTTTGTTACATGTGTCTACATTGGTGTGTGTGTGTCTGTGTGTGTCTGTGTATGTGAACAGAGATGATTAATAGGGAAAAGGAGGAAGGACAGAGATGAGTACGAACATCTCAGGAGCATGAGAAGAGAGGGAGGAGCGAAAGGAATGAGAGGAGGAGAAAAAGAGGGGGATAGACTCTGCTTCGTCGCTTGGAGTCTCATTGCAGCAGTGTTTTTATTCCAGCCTCATGTTACGGCTCCATCACAGCTGGAGCTTCCCACACATGCTTGTCTCCACACACGGATCAGCCAGTGTGAAGAAAGACACCGAGTTTGGAGACTAGAGTTTGAAGACTGAGGCACAGTGTTGTGTGGACATTCATTACCTGTTTGGATTCTACAGTTTGGACGTTGCATTTTGGTAAAAAATCTGCTTGGGAGTTAAATTTTGGACATTGGTTTGGGGAAGCAATAGTCAGTGGACTCTGGAGATTGGACATTGTGGCATGGACAGCCTTTTTTGGACAATAGAGTTTGGATACTGAAGTATGGATAGTGAGTACCTTTCTGAACATTAGAGTTTGGATATTGGAGTATAGATAGTCAGTTCCTTATTAGACACTTTATTTATATTGGAGTATGACTATACAGTATCTCAGTGGAAAGGTTTGGAAAGGAAACCTTGGAGTAGGATATTGATAAGGAAAGGATATTGGAGTATGGATATTAGGAGTCTCCTTGGAGTATGCATAGTAAGTACTTCTCTAAACATTAGAGTTTGAATATAGGAACACATAGGAATATTCAATAGAGTCTGAATATTGGAATAGAGATAATCAGTATATCTTTGTACGTTAGATTTTGTACATTGTAGTATGAATATTTATTTTCATATTGGACACTAGAGTTTTAATATTGGAGTATGGAAAGCCAATGTGTTGTCTGGCAATACAGTCTGGATACTGGAGTATGAATATTAGGTATCCGCTTGGATATACAGTATCTCTTTGGAAACAAGAGTTTTTAATATTGAAGTATCGACAGTAGTTTAGATATTGATGTATAGATAGTCAGACATTAGCGTTTGAGTTTTGGAAAATGACTACTAGATACTTCATTGGACAGCTGGTGTCTCTTTGGAGACTTGCATTTTGATATTGGTGTATGAATAGTGAATGTTTAGACATTAGAGTTTGGATATTGTAGTATTAATATGAGCTCCTTTTGGAAACTAGTGTTGAGGCATTAATTGTCAGTATCTCTGTCTAATTTGGCTGTTGAACATTAGATTCAGACATTGAAATATAAATACCCTGACAATTTCTTAGATATTGGTGTATGAATAACCAGTATTTCTTTAGGGCCAGAGCTTAGATATTGGAGTATAAATATCCAGTATCTCTTCAGAGACTATAGTTTAGATATTGGCATATGAATAACCAGTATCTCTTTAGATATGAGAGTTTGGATATTGGAATATGAATATCCAGTACCTCTTTAGAGACTACAGTTTGGGTATTGAAGTATGAATAGCCAGTATCTCTTTAGAGAATAGAGTTTGGATATTGGATTATGAATAGACAATATCTTTTTAGAGACTAAAATTTGATTATGGGAGTATAAATAGCCAGTATCTCTTTAAACATGAGAGTTTGGATATTGGAGTATAAAGATCCAGTACCTCTTTAAAGACTATAGTTTAGATATTGGCATATGAATAACCAGTATCTCTTTAGATATGAGAGTTTGGATATTGGAGTATAAATATCCAGTACCTCTTTAGAGACTACAGTTTGGGTATTGAAATATGAATAGCCAGTATCTCTTTAGAGACTAGAGTTTGGATGTTGGATTATGAATAGACAATATCTTTTTAGAGACTAAAATTTGGATATGGGAGTTTGAAGAGCCAGTATTGCTTTAGAGACTACGGTTTGGACATTGGAGTATGAATTGCCAGTACCTCTTTAGAGACCAGTATTTGGCTATTGAAATAGGAATAGCCAGTACCTCTTTAGCATCTTTTCAGAGAGTAGAGTTATTGAGGTATTGAGTACTGCTACAATTGGTATCTCTTTAGAAACTAGTACTTGGATGTAGCCTCATACAAATTTAGCTACAGGAAGTTGAAAAAGGATACCATCATATGTAGAGCTGTTAAGACATTGAGATCATTAGCACTTGAGGAAAATACAAGCCACCTACATACATGCATGATTATATTTAGTCATTCAAACTATATACTGTACATACTTACCCATTAACTGACTGCAGATTTTTTAGAAAAGTTAAAATTCCCTGTATACATTTGCAGAGTTGAGTGGCACCATGGATGATATGTGATCTCTGATCAAAGACACACAAGCCAAATTTATTCTAAGGCGGATACACTGAGGAGCTTTGGCTTGCTTTTGGAGAGGGTGTGCTGTAGCATGCTCACTGTGATTTTGGAAGTAATGCTGTAAACTGCAGTGAGGATTAGCAAACGTGTATGTAGAATATAGACAGGTCTCATACTGTACGGTGTGGAAAAGCATGGAGACGTGACACCGCAGCCATGCTGTGCGGTTTACGGAGAGAAGGCCGCAATGGTGAGTCTAACCATCTTTTACATCTTCATCTATCCATCTCTATTTGCCTAACAAACTTCACTATACCAATACAGGTGATAATAACACATCTTTATTTCTGGGTACAGTATCTCCTGGGAAGAATTTATCAAGAAAACAGAGTAGCCTACTTTTCAAAAAAGGAAATATGGCAGGCAAAAATTAGACAAATATGTTTTTCTATATTGTTTTGCCTACTAAAATATGTCTACTGTTAATGATGTGTTTTGCTGTTGTAGGTGATGACATCATAAGTTTATGTCTAAAGTTATTTCACAAGATTTAATTTCATGAGATTTTTTTTTTTAAAAAGGGAAGGACAAAGCTGAAACAAAGTTTATTTTGATAAACTGCTATAGTCTAAACTAAGTCAGTTTGGAATAAATATTCTAGCATTTTGCCTAATCAAATAATTCTATACCTGCACTATTACTGTTTATAACTGCTAAATGTAACATAAGTGATAACAAGAACTAACTTGTTTTGTGAACATTTCACAACATTAAATGTAACTATAAATGCATAAAATGTAAAGTAAAATCTGACTAATAATCAGACTAATAATCTAATGTTTAACTAATAAAATATTGTAATAGTTGGCAAACTGCTGTTGTATAAGAAGAATAAAACACTTCATTGTGCTATTATAGGAAAATGATCAACTTTGAGATGGTAACTCTGCTTCACCATACTGTCCTGATGTTGATTATTTTCCTGTAACAGCACTCCCTAAAGTGTTTTATTCCTTACTAAAACACAATATACAATATAGATGTAGGTATATAATAAAGCCATGGTCATAATGCTGGAATTTAAGTGCAGTGTATGGGATCTCTGATGGCCATATTTTAAATTTTTGGTATTGGAATGGTATTGGTATTTATTTGTCCGTTGGGGTACCTGTTTGCATATCTGGCAACCCTCTTGAGTTTTTTGATTGAAAATGAGATTAATATATTACAATTAATGGTATAATGATTATTGCACTAAAGTGGATCTTCTTGTAGCATTTTTTTGCTACATTTTTTTTTGTAGCTGTGTTTGCAAGCCTCATTGCTATGTGATCATTGACTAGCTTGGCTCATTATTGACTGATCATACAAACTTCAATCTTATTATTTTTACCACTAAATAAACCGTCTGTCTAGAACGTTCCTCACTGATGTTTGTAGGTGTTCATGGAAAACTGTGGAGCTATGGGAGAGAAGTATTAACCAGGTCTTGTGTCGGCTCTATAAATAAACCGGGTCTGAAAATAGGCCCACCAGCATTGTAGGAACATCCGGCGTTTAACCTACATCAGGAATGGTGTCATCGCAAGCTGAGCTGCCGGAGTGTAACGCTCTAAATTACTTTGTGACTTTTTAATTGAGTTGCAAAATGAGTTGTGCATGCTAAAAGTGAAGCTTTTTTTTATGAACTCATGAAGCATGTGTTTCAGAGACTTTGTGTCTCTGTGTCATGTGTGAAATACTATACAGCACATTAAAAAAAGAAAAAAGAGAAAGCAATGTTGTTGTTCTTCTTATTTTGGCTGCTTCTGTTAATGGTCGCCACAGTGGATCATTGGTTCGCATATTTGATTTAGCACAGTATTTATCGTGTGCAACCCCAGTGGCTGAGTTCAATTCACTGGCCGGGAATCGAACCTGTGCCACAGCGGTGAGAGTGCCATGGCCTAACCACTAGTCTTCCAGGGACCCAAAAAAGAAAAAGTAATAATAAATTGATATAAATATATAATAACTCTGGCATTAGTCACTATTTTTGGGTCCCTGGTGGTCTACCGGATAATGATGCCATGGCCCGGGTTCAATTCCCGGGCAGGGAACCAACCCAGCCACTGGGAGTGTACGCTCAGTGCCGGTCCCTAGCCTGGATAAAATGGGAGGGTTGCGTCAGGAAGATCATCCAATGTAAAACCTGTGCCAAATCAAACATGCAGACCAATGATCCGCTGTGACAACCCCTAATGGGAGCAGCTGAAAAAAACAACAACAACAAAATTAGTTACCATTTTTAATAGGGTAATAAGCTGTAATTTAATATATGAAGAACGTCTATTATTTGGATGGTTTGGGACTTTGGATTTGGTTTTGAAATCGAAATCAAAATAAGTGCAGTATTTGCTTACATAAAGACTAGCAATTTTTTGTACTTTTTGGAAATTCCTGTTTGTTCTGATGTAGAAAAAAAAGCCAGTCTTTTTGGAGATCCTTATGTTTCACATGTGCTTCCTTGCACTGTGTGTGTGTGTGTGTGTGTGTGTGCGTGTGTGTGTTTGTAGCAATGATAGCTTTGACCTATTTGGCACTCTTGGTGAAATTTCACTTGGAGACTGAGGGGCATGGCAGGGGTAAGGAGACTTGGCAGCATCACTGGGGAAGATCGGGGCAGATTTCACAAGTGTCTATATAAAACACGCTGTGTCAGTGTCGCCCCTGGCAAGTTGGCGCCCTGGGCAATTATTTATGTTACCTTATATACCAGGGAGTTTTACTGGTAGTTAGAGATACTGTTGCCAAAAATGAACTGTACACAGTTTTCCCCTTACCTCACAAACTGAAATGTTTGTTGTCTGATGTTATTTATTTTTTTTTAGTTTTGTACTGGAACTATAAATCATATGTACTGTAGCGAACAAGTAAGGGAAGCTCATAGCTACCAGTTTAGCATTGTGCAACCTGCAGGTCTAAATCATCTCACACTCTCCTTAAAAGACACTGTCTCAGTAACACCATTTGTACAATTTGACTTATTAACCAGCAGAATACATAGGTATTAAAAATGTAACCAACAAAACTGTATAACTTGTGTACAGTTCCGTCTTCAACCTGAGTGTGATGTTTATGAAGAGGAAGAAAGTGATTCGGTTTCAAGATTTATTTTTAGCTCTGGGATGCCCTTTTTGTCCATTTTTATAGAACATCATAAACCATATAAGCAACTCTTTTTTCAGGTGAGTGTGTGATAATTTAGACAGATGTAGAGGTTTGCACAACGATTAACTGGTAGCTATAGGATTTCTTTAACTATTACCAACATTCACTAGCTCTGGTGCAAATCTAAACACTGCGATAACTGTATTATTAAATAGTCAAATTTATGTAGTATTTCCTATTTAAAAAATTACAATAAACCAACTATAAGGTAACCAAACCTATTTCTACTAATTTCAAGATTTACATTGTCTTATTCTAATCAAAATGATCTGCCAAGAGAACTATTTCATTAGTAAAAAAAAAAGTATCTATATATAGGTTTAATAATCTTGTAATGGGCTTACAAGAATGGGCGTAATCTTGTATTATGAAATACTAGATATTTATTACTATATTCAAGATATTTTAACTTGCTGTCATTTTTTTGGGGTAAATAAATGAATTTTAGACAGGAAACATGTCTCACAGTATGTTGGAAATTGTGAACATTTTATTTTTATCCAAAGACTTCCTTTATTTCATGCCATGGATCAGTGAGGAAGGGTTGCCAGATGTTCCAGCAGCACTAATGACGATTATTATTTTATTGTTCCAGATGACGGCCCTTATTCAAAAGGGAATAAAGACTGCGCAGCCAATGACAGCAGTGTGGTCTCAAAGAGGCGCAGCATTCCAGGTAAAATGCTCATTAAATAAGATTAACAGAATTCTGTATGAAATGACTCATGAGAGTTTCAACACACACACACACACAAATGTTGTGATAGTCTTGTGTGCTGAGGTGAACAGACAGCTTGTCTGCACTGGTACTGATGCCGAACTTTAGAGTCTCTTTAGAGTATAGAGTCCCTGTTTAACTCTACACACAACTTGTCCCCTTCTTCCTTCTTACAGGTTTCCTCTCACACTTTCTTGCTCTCTAAGGATTTGTGAGAGCAAATTAGCTTCTGTTTATAGATCAGCAAAGATAGGGAAAATAATCATTCTAATTTCTAAGAAATGATCTCAAAATATTCTGCATCCATGTATAACATGACTCTCTCTGACTTTTATATTGGCGGGAAAACTGTCAATAGTACCAGATATGTCTGATCAAAATGACAAAAAACTGGTGCTTTTCATGAACGATAAAAAAAAAATATATGTAAGGGATAAATCACAACAGAGCATGAGGTTATAGGAAAATAATTAATGGCAGGGTAGTGTGATGTAGACACACATTTTGTAAATACATTTCTGTCAAGCATCTGTCATACAAGTTCCTGTGTCCTACAAGCACATTAATATAAACCTTGCAATATAAACTACTGTCAGAGCTGCTGTTATGGAAAATTAATCAACTTCTGATCAATTGGATTCGAGAATTCAACAGTGCTGAGGTATAAATTCTTTTAAAAAGCAGCACCAGTGAAATTATGGAAAACCGTTACCAGCTCATCTTCCAAAAAGATAAGATTGTGAGTATTAGACACAGTATTAGTCAGGTAATGTGATGTCATGAACAAGGGCGTGGCTTATTTGATTGGCTAGTGATCAAAATGCATTATTGTGCACGTCTATCTGGTCATACTGTAAAAAAAATCATAATGTAGGCTATAGAGATCAGAAAATAGAATGTAAGAAGATACACAAAGAGTGATTTTATAATGAAATCTTAATGTAAAGTATAATCAAATTGTGAAGTGCGCAGAGATTCTCACCTCTAAGCAGTGCTGCTAAAATCTCTTAAATTATTTCCCTAAATGATCAGGATGCTGGCTGAAATGCTGTCCTGATTTTTCTGTGTATGTTTGTGTGTATGTGTGTGTGTTTGTGTGTGTGTGTGTGTGTGAGTCTAGACGAGATTCGAGGTCTGACCACAGTGGAGCTGATAAAGAGAGAAGGCTCCAGTCTCGGCCTCACCATCTCTGGAGGCTCGGACAAAGACGGCAAGCCTCGAGTGTCAAACCTTAGACCAGGAGGCCTGGCAGCCAGGTGAGACAATGCTCTCTCTCTCTCTCTCTCTCTCTCACACACACACACAGATACGCACACACACTCCTACAAATTTTATAATAATGCAGTTGTTTGCAGTATGATTTGATCAATGACTGGACATAATACAAGCTATCAATGTTTGCACAGAAAATAACTTTCCCTGGGTGTTTAATACCACTTGTATTCACATGAATCAGTTCTGGTGAATTGGAGTTTGTTAAAATAATATCCACCCAGTATTTTGTGCCTAGTAAGTTGTCATAAATTATTCAATGAGGCAACAATGTAAACGAGTATTGGCCATCCCTTTGATTTTTTGAATTAAAGGTGTGAATAGTCAGCCAGTAAGCCAGAGAACTTTCACACTATTTTCACTAATCATCGCCGAAAACTGCCTACTTTCACAAGGAGAGGCCATTTGAAGGACATTGCAACAAATCACAGACTTTTTCTGTAGCTCGCCGACACATTGCAACAAATCACAGACTAATTACTTCAAATAAATCTGCGAAGCCTGGATGATTGAATGGCAGGATCAGAAGTAGGTGCACACAACATGAAAACATCAACATGGGGATGTCCTGTTTGGTGTAAACAGTAAGAGTTGGTGGTTGATGGTGCAGGGTACATTATTCTGGCACACATTACAGCCTTTAATACCCACTGGAGAAATCCTGAGCAGCATGTAATGACCATGTACACCTTTTCTTGGCTACACTTTACTCACATTCAGGTGAACACTTCCAGCATTATTATGTACCCTGTGATTAATCTCTTGGATAAGGTCGAAAGTGTCTTGTTGCCTGCATTAAGATTGTGCAACTTTAATCACTTCTTTATGGAAAAACATTTGATCCAGCATTTTGTGTAAACACCCTGACCTTTAAGTTCATGTGTAAGGTGTAATATACTACTAAATAGGTATACATAACCTGAAACTCAGTGATTATGCAGCTTTAGTTTGTGCTTGTGTGTGAGCGTGTGATCTCAGGTCAGTACTGATGCATCACAACAACCCCTGAGACCATGAGGTCAGGCAAACACCTTTGGACGTTTGAAAATTGAAATAGAGTACTACAGCTGACTAGTGAGGTGTAAAAATAACATTAATGCAGCAGTGTGTGTGTGTGTGTGTGTGTGTGTGTGTGAGTGTGTGTGAAAGAGAGTGTGTGTGTGTTTGTGTGTGTGTCCACTCTCTTCACAGCTAGTAGCAGAAGGTGTGAGACAGTCCAAAATTACAATGCAGCCCAGTTCACTGCATGCCTAGCCTTTCAGCATGTGCGTTTATTCATGGAGGAGGCATAAACTAAAGGAACACACCAGCCAAAACACATTTTAAACATCTTAATTTTTTTCTAGATCAAATTATAAAATAATGAATTTTTTAAGGTAACAGTTCCATAAGAAATAAAAAGGCCAAGAAGCGCATCCATTTTTACCCTCATCCAGAAACACAGTTTCTATTAAAATGCAAATCCAAATTCGTGATAAGTCTTTTTAGTGACTTGAGTGATTAAATGATTAAATCCTTTGTACAGATTCATTCACTGATTTGTTCAGTTGTGTGGTTTGCCACAAGTATTCAACCTGATCATGCCGCTAGCCCGACACAAACTACTACATGCACTGAAACGATGGAAATCTCCAGCTAACTGAACAAGCCCAAATGCTACTTATTGAACTCACTGTCACAGCTACACAAGTAAGGAACGAATCTCGATCTTGACCAAAAGGATTCACAAAGGGCATGAATCGGGTTCGACATACATGCAACTATAAAT